TTGTTATCGACAATATTTTCTATAGAAATTATTGTTATCGACAATATTTTCTATAGAAATTGTTGTTATCGACAATATTTTCTATAGAAATTATTGTTATCGACAATATTTTCTATAGAAATTATTGTTATCGACAATATTTTCTATAGAAATTATTGTTATCGACAATATTTTCTGTAGAAATTATTGTTATCGACAATATTTTCTATAGAAATTATTGTTATCGACAATATTTTCTATAGAAATTATTGTTATCGACAATATTTTCTATAGAAATTATAATAACAATAATTTCTATAGAAAATATTGTCGATAACAATCATTTTTATAGAAATAATTGCCGATAACAATAATTTCTATAAAAAATACTATCGATAACAAATATTTCTATAGATAATACTGTCGATAACAATAATTTTTGGAGAAAATATTGTCGATAACAATAATTTCTGTAGAAAATTGTCGATAACAATAATTTCTGTAGAAAATTGTCGATAACAATAATTTCTATAGAAAATATTGTTGATAACAATAATTTCTATAGAAAATATTGTCGATAACAATAATTTCTATAAAAAATATTGTCGATGACAATAATTTCTATAGAAAATATTGTCGATAACAATAATTTCTATAGAAAATATTGTCGATAACAATAATTTCTATAGAAAATATTGTCGATAACAATAATTTCTATAGAAAATATTGTCGATAACAATAATTTCTATAGAAAATATTGTCGATAAAAAAGTCTCTTTAGAAAATATTGTCGATAACAAAATTCTATAGAAAACATTGTCGATAAAAAAATTTATAAAGAAAATACTGTCGATAACAATAATTTCAATGAAAATATTGTCGATAACAATAATTTCAATGAAAATATTGTCGATAACAATAATTTCTATAAAAATATTGTCCATTTTTTTTTATTAAAATCATGTCGATAACAATAATTTCTATGGAAAATATTGTCGATAGCAATCATCATTTCCATCCATAAGGAATTTGTCAGTAACAACCTTTTATTTTTGCATTCACTTTTTCAAAGATTAAATTGTTTTTAATCTTAACTAAAAAATACATTCTCTTTGCTTGGGTGTTATCATCAAACTTCTGATTAGATTCAGTTCATTGGAATTGCTTAGAATCGAAATACTTTAACTCTTTTTAAAAAATGGGAACCGGGAAAATACGACAATTGTTGACTTTATGATCTAACTGAGACTAAATTGCAAATCATGTTAAAAGTTGTTTTATCTTTTTTTTAGCAAGCAAACAATTGACAAATGTGTGACAGATAATGAAGAAGGAGAATGTCAATCGAGATTGTAAACATACAGATAATTTTGCTGCTCGTAAAACGTCTACACAATTGCTGTGATATCATAGTATAACAGTTATAACAATATAGTAGCACACATGGATAAATGCTTCTTGTCTTGGGAGATGTCTTAAAATTAACCCATAAAACTCTCTCTCTCTCTCTCTCTCTCTCTCTCCTTGGTGTGTTTTAGTTAAAGATTAAAGAGAAAAGTGTGTTGTAAAGGTTAGTGAAGATATTATTCCCTTAAACAAATGATGTATATCAAGGCTTATGTATCCAAACTGAGAGCAAAGACATGGGATTTTGCTCTATACTTTTTGGGGGAGGTACCAGAAGGAATGGTCCAATCTCTACCATCTTTACAACGGAACTTGTGTTGATGGAAATATTGAGATGTGTCAAGTCTGAATGGAATCGGATGCTAATTTTCGCATTTTATGAGCTTCATGGGTACTCAAAATATTGACCCATTGTGCGGGAGGTACCAGAAGGATTGGACCGATATTTCCAATCTTCACACCAGACCTTGGGTTGACAAAAATATTGTGATGTATGTAATTCGAAGAGAAACGGATGCTTATTTTGGATTTTATGATCGTCTTGGTTATTCAAAACTTTGACCCTTTGTGGGGTGGGTACCAGAAGAAATGACCGATCTCTACCGTCTTTATAACAGATCTTGTGTTGATGGAAATATTGAGATTTACCAAGTCTCAATGGAAGCGAATGTTATTTTCGCATTTTATGAGCTTTTTTTTCAATGTTGACCCATTGTGCGAGAGGTACCAGAAGGAGTGGACCGATATTTCCCATCTTCACACCAGACCTTGAGTAAATAAAAGTATTGAGATATGTCTAATTTGAGTTATAATTATTAAAATTTTTGACCCTTTGTGGTCGAAGTACTGGATGGAGTGGACCGATACTGTCCATTTTCGCATCTGACCTAGCGCTGACAAAAATATAAGGATTTGTAAAGTTGAAGCAAAATCGAATTATTATTTCTCCTTCTGTGCAGTAAATTATTTTCTTTGAAAAGGTTGATATTTTGTGGGAGAGGTACCAGAAGGAGTGGACCGATACTGCCCATCTCCGAACTCGATTTATGTTTGACAATAATATTACGATTTACCAAGCTTGGATCAAATCGGATACTCCCTTCGAGAGCTATCGTGCGCACCAGCCAGCCAGCCAGACAGATGGACGGACGGACGGACATCGCTAGATCGACTTCAAATATTCTGAAACGGATTTGGTCCAAAGAGACTTAGGGTTTGATACCGTTATTTCAATGAGGCACGTTTTGACCGTATCAAATCATATATACCCTCTGTGGCCATACGACTAAGGGTATAAAAAATGCTTCCATATCCTTTGGAGATCATTTTCCTAAACAAGGAGATGTGTTAGATTATTTTCTTCTGTGGCAAAATTATTTGCTGATAGGTCCTTTACATTTCCTCCTTTAACAAAAAACATGTTCCATCATGCTTAATGGGTTGAAATTGCGAAAATCTAGTTTACCCCAAAAGTCTATTCCAAAGTCAGACTTATGTTTACGAATTTCTTTAAAAATGATTTTATTTGAGTGAGAGTTGTGGTGGAGGTTGGGAGCCTTTTGAGCAAAATGTAGCTAAGGAAATTCTCTACATTTTATTCTTGTTATCGACAATATTTTCTATAGAAATTATTGTTATCGACAATATTTTCTATAGAAATTATTGTTATCGACAATATTTTCTATAAAAATTATTGTTATCGACAATGTTTTCTATAGAAAATATTATTATCGACAATGTTTTCTATAGAAACTATTGTTATCGACAATGTTTTCTATAGAAACTATTGTTGTCGACAATGTTTCCTATAGAAATTATTGTTATCGATAATATTTCTATAGATATTATTGTTATCGACAATATTTTATGTAGAAATTGTTGTTATCGACTATGTTTATTATAGGAAATCTCTTTATCAATAGCATTTCCTTCTGAATATGTTGTTATCTTTCAGGTTAAGCAATTTCAGAAACTTTCCTCTATCTGTATTCAGAGACCTAATTATGAACTCTTGTAACAAATATATTACTTTGGATTAATTTATGTTGTCTTAACAGAATATGCACGTGTTAAACCTTTTAATTTTCTCTCCGTTCTTGTTGCCACGAAATAATGTATTCATATTTTATGTTAATCGGCAGCAAATAGTTGGAAAGAGCTTTCGTTGACCTCTACCTAGACGAGTTGATCATCTCTTTCTACCAACAATGTTCATAACAAAGTTCATCTGATAATCATTAATAACTGTACCACCATCACTACTACCACTACCATCATAAAATAGACAGACCATTGAATACTTGGAATGCTTACTAAGCTAAATTCGATTAACGATTGCCTTTTGGAGACAGACAACAGCTCAGCTCTAGGCTATTTTTATGGAAGGGTTTGTTGACCTTAATGGACAAACATACGTATCTACATATAATTTGCCTCATGGAATTTTATTTTTACAAAACCAAACAAAAAAAAAAAAAAAAAAGAAATGGTCAGAAGTGGTCTTTTTTGGGACAGTTAATTGCCAGTGGGAAATGATTTGCGGATTTTGTTTCAAATGGATTTGAAAACAACTGTTTTTTTTTTGACACCATGGAAAACAAATAAATTTAAAGGCTTGTTATCGAAAATAATTTCTATAGAAAATATTGTTATCGCTAGAAGTTTATGTAAAAAGTATTTTATCGGCAATGTTAGATATTAAAAAATCTTGCTATTGGTCTATAGAAAATCTAGTTATCACTATATAAAATCCTTTTTATCGGTAATATATTGTATTTTCGAGAGAAAAAATTGTCGATAACAATGATTTCTGTAGAAAAAATTGCCAATGACAATTATTTCTATAGAAAATGCAAAGCAAATTTTATAGAAAATCTTCCTATCGACAATATTTTCCATAGAATGTATTGTCATCGACAATATTTTTTTTACAGAAAAATCTGGTTATCGATAATATTTTCTATAGAAAATATTGTTATCGACATTATTTTCTATAGAATGTATTGTTATCGACAATATTTTCTATAAAATGTATTGTTATCGACAATATTTTCTACAGAAAATCCTGTTATCGACGATATTTTCTATGGGAAATCTTGTTATCGACAATATTTTTTATAGAAAATCTTGTTATCGAATATATTTTTTATAGAAAATCTTGTTATCGACGATATTTTTTATAGAAAATCTTGTAATCGGCAAAATTTTCTATAGAAAATCTTGTTATCGACAAAATTTTCTATAGATAATCTTGTTATCGGCAATATTTTCTATAGATAATCATGTTATCGAAAACTTTTATATAGAAAATCTTGTTATCAACGATATTTTCTATAGAAAATATTTTTATCGACAATATTTTCTACAGAGATATCTTCTTTCTACAGAAAATTTTTTTATCGACAATATTTTCTACAGAAAATCTTGTTATCGACAATATTTTCTATAAAAAATCTTGCTATGGATAGCATTTCTTCTTATCGGCAAGATTTTTATGAAAAATTTATTTTCTGTTGCCTTTTTTTTTGCAGAATATCTTGTTATCGCTAATACCTTCTATCGAAAAATCCTTTTATCTGTAATATCATTTATTAATTTGTTGTTCTTTTTTGCAGTGCCTTCAAGTTGCCACAAATGTCACCGAACAAAAACATCATGTCACCCGTGAGATTCGTGGCAAAAATCTTGGCTTATGCCGAGGTTTCCGTGGTTGCACAGTTTGGTTGACTGGTCTGAGTGGGGCTGGTAAGACATCCATAGCCTTTGAATTGGAAGCCTATTTGGTGTCGAGAGGCATCCCAGCCTATGGTCTTGATGGTGACAACATTCGTACTGGCCTTAATAAAAATTTGGGATTCACGCCAGCTGATCGTGAAGAGAATATTCGCCGTGTTGGTGAAGTTGCCAAGTTGTTTGCCGACAGTGGAGTGGTGGCCATCTGTAGTTTTGTCTCACCCTTTGCCGATGATCGTGAAATGGCTCGTAAAATCCATAAGGATGCCGATTTGAAATTTTATGAAATTTTCGTCGACACTCCCTTGAATGTGTGTGAGTCACGCGATGTCAAGGGTCTCTACAAGAAGGCCAGAGAGGGTGTTATCAAAGGTTTCACCGGCATTACCCAGGAATACGAAAAACCCGAGAAACCAGAACTGATTGTCAACACTGATGGCTTCACCATCAAGGAATCGACACAAAAAGTCATTGCTCTGCTGGAGGAGGAAGGCATTATTCCCAAGACCCTCAGAGATGTGGAAAAACTGCCCGAACTTTATGTTCAAGATTCGGTCAAAGAGGCTATCATCAATGAGGCCAAATCATTGCCCTCAGTCCCCATTACTCAGGTTGAATTGCAGTGGTTGCAAGTATTGGCCGAAGGTTGGGCATACCCCTTGAAGGGTTTCATGCGCGAAGATGAATATCTGCAAACGTTGCATTTCAATTCCATTCTGACGGAAGAAGGTGCCTTCAGGGAAAATCAATCGGTGCCAATTGTTTTGTCGGTCAGCACTGAAAACAAGGAAAAATTGGATGGTGTTTCAGCCATTACACTAAACTATGAGGGCAAGCCCGTGGCAATTTTGAGAAAACCCGAATTTTTCTATCACCGCAAGGAGGAACGTTTGTCACGTCAATTCGGCACAAGTCATCCCAATCAGCCATACATTAAGGTGGGTATCCTTTAATCTGAGAGAAATTTAATTTCTTCTAATCGGTTATCTTTTTTTTAGATGGTCATGGAATCGGGTGATTGGTTAGTTGGTGGCGACTTGGATGTTATCGAACGCATTCGATGGAACGATGGTCTGGACCAGTATCGTTTAACACCAAATGAGTTGAGAGAGAAATTCACTGAAATGAAAGCTGATGCTGTTTTTGCATTCCAAGTAAGTTTTTCCATTCAAGTTTGTTATTATCGACTAAATTTTCTATAGAAATTGTTGTTATCGACAACATTTTCCATAGAAATTATTGTTATCAACAATATTTTCTATAGAAATTATTGTTATCGACAACATTTTCTATGGAAATTGTTGTCATCGAAAACATCTTCTATAGAAATTATTGTTATCGACAATAATTTCTATAAAATTGTTGTTATCGACAATAATTTCTCTAGAAATTGATGTTATCGACAATATTTTCTATAGAAATTATTGTTATCGAAAACATTTTCCATAGAAATTATTGTTATCGACAATATGTTCTATAGAAATTATTGTTATCGACAATATTTTCTATAGAAATTATTGTTATCGACAATATTTTCTATAGAAATTATTGTTATCGACAATATTTTCTATAGAAATTATTGTTATCGACAATATTTCTTCTAGAAATTATTGTTATCGACAATATTTTCTATAGAAATTATTGTTATCGACAATATTTTCTATAGAAATTATTGTTATCGACAATATTTTCTATAGAAATTATTGTTATCGACAATATTTTCTATAGAAATTATTGTTATCGACAATATTTTCTATAGAAATTATTGTTATCGACTAAATTTTCTATAGAAATTGTTGTTATCGACAACATTTTCCATAGAAATTATTGTTATCGACAATATGTTCTATAGAAATTATTGTTATCGACAATATTTTCTATAGAAATTATTGTTATCGACAATATTTTCTATAGAAATTATTGTTATCGACAATATTTTCTATAGAAATTATTGTTATCGACAATATTTTCTATAGAAATTATTGTTATCGACAATATTTTCTATAGAAATTATTGTTATCGACAATATTTCTTCTAGAAATTATTGTTATCGACAATATTTTCTATAGAAATTATTGTTATCGACAATATTTTCTATAGAAATTATTGTTATCGACAATATTTTCTATAGAAATTATTGTTATCGACAATATTTTCTATAGAAATTATTGTTATCGACAATATTTTCTATAGAAATGATTGTTATCGACAATATTTTCTATAGAAATTATTGTTATCGACAATATTTTCTATAGAAATTATTGTTATCGACAATATTTTCTGTAGAAATTATTATTATCGACAATATTTTCTATAGAAATTATTGTTATCGACAATATTTTTTATAGAAATTGTGGTTATCGACAATATTTTCTATAAAAATTATTGTTATCGACAATATTTTCTATAGAAATTATTGTTATCGACAATAGTTTCTATAGAAATTATTGTTATCGACAATATTTTCTATAGAAATTATTGTTATCGACAACATTTTCCATAGAAATTATTGTTATCAACAATATTTTCTATAGAAATTATTGTTATCGACAACATTTTCTATGGAAATTGTTGTCATCGAAAACATCTTCTATAGAAATTATTGTTATCGACAATAATTTCTATAAAATTGTTGTTATCGACAATAATTTCTCTAGAAATTGATGTTATCGACAATATTTTCTATAGAAATTATTGTTATCGAAAACATTTTCCATAGAAATTATTGTTATCGACAATATGTTCTATAGAAATTATTGTTATCGACAATATTTTCTATAGAAATTATTGTTATCGACAATATTTTATATAGAAATTATTGTTATCGACAATATTTTCTATAGAAATTATTGTTATCGACAATATTTTCTATAGAAATTATTGTTATCGACAATATTTTCTATAGATATTATTGTTATCGACAATATTTTTTATAGAAATTATTGTTATCGACAATATTTTCTATAGAAATTATTGTTATCGACAATATTTTCTATAGAAATTATTGTTATCGACAATATGTTCTATAGAAATTATTGTTATCGACAATATTTTATATAGAAATTATTGTTATCGACAATATTTTCTATAGAAATTATTGTTATCGACAATATTTTCTATAGAAATTATTGTTATCGACAATATTTTCTATAGATATTATTGTTATCGACAATATTTTTTATAGAAATTATTGTTATCGACAATATTTTCTATAGAAATTATTGTTATCGACAATATTTTCTATAGAAATTATTGTTATCGACAATATGTTCTATAGAAATTATTGTTATCGACAATATTTTCTATAGAAATTATTGTTATCGACAATATTTTATATAGAAATTATTGTTATCGACAATATTTTCTATAGAAATTATTGTTATCGACAATATTTTCTATAGAAATTATTGTTATCGACAATATTTTCTATAGATATTATTGTTATCGACAATATTTTTTATAGAAATTATTGTTATCGACAATATTTTCTATAGAAATTATTGTTATCGAAAATATTTTCTATAGAAAATATTGTTATCGACAATAGTTTCTATAGATATTGTTATTATTATATTTTCTAAAGAAAATTATTGTTATCGACCATATTATCTACGGAAATTATTGTTATCGATAATTATTTCTGTGGAAAATATTGTTATTGAAAATATTTTCTATAGAAATGATTGTTATCGGCAATTATTTCTATAGAAATCATAGTTATCGACAATTATTTCTATAGAAGTTATTGTTACCGACGATATATTCCATAGAACTTGTTAGAACTTGTGTTATCGACAATATTTTCTATAGAAATTATTGTTATCGACAATATTTTCTATAGAAATTATTGTTATCGACAATATTTTCTATAGAAATTATTGTTATCGACAATATTTTCTGTAGAAATTATTGTTATCGGCAATATTTTCTGTAGAAATTATTGTTATCGACAATATTTTTTATAGAAATTGTGGTTATCGACAATATTTTCTATAGAAATTATTGTTATCGACAATATTTTCTATAGAAATTATTGTTATCGACAATATTTTCTATAGAAATTATTGTTATCGACAATATTTTCTATAGAAATTATTGTTATCGACAATATTTTCTATAGAAATTATTGTTATCGACAATATTTTCTATAGAAGTTATTGTTATCGACAATATTTTCTATAGAAATTATTGTTATCGACAATATTTTCTATAGAAATTATTGTTATCGACAAAATTTTCTATAGAAAATATTGTTATCGACAATAGTTTCTATAGATATTGTTATTATTATATTTTCTAAAGAAAATTATTGTTATCGACCGTATTATCTACGGAAATTATTGTTATCGATAATTATTTCTGTGGAAAATATTGTTATTGAAAATATTTTCTATAGAAATGATTGTTATCGACAATTATTTCTATAGAAATCATAGTTATCGACAATTATTTCTATAGAAGTTATTGTTACCGACGATATATTCCATAGAACTTGTTAGAACTTGTGTTATCGACAATATTTTCTATAGAAATTATTGTTATCGACAATATTTTCTATAGAAATTATTTTTATCGACAATATTTTCTGTAGAAATTATTGTTATCGACAATGTTTTTTATAGAAATTGTGGTTATCGACAATATTTTCTATAGAAATTATTGTTATCGACAATATTTTCTATAGAAATTATTGTTATCGACAATATTTTCTATAGAAATTATAGTTATAGACAATAGTTTCTATAGAAATTATAGTTATAGACAATAGTTTCTATAGATATTGTTATTATTATATTTTCTAAAGAAAATTATTGTTATCGACCATATAATCCATGGAAATTATTGTTATCGATAATTATTTCTGTGGAAAATATTGTTATCGAAAATATTTTCTATAGAAATGATTGTTATCGACAATTATTTCTATAGAAATCATAGTTATCGACAATTATTTTTATAGAAATTATTGTTATCGACAATATTTTCTATAGAAATTATTGTTATCGACGATATATTCCATAAAAATTGTTAATATCGACACAAGATATACCAAATTTTTGTTATCGTCTAAATTTTCTATTGAATTTTTTTTATCGACATCATTATTATCGATATTTTACGATTGTTTCATATTTTTCTAGCTCCGCAACCCAATCCACAATGGCCACGCTTTGCTAATGCAAGATACCAAACGTCAGCTGTTGGAACGCGGTTTCAAAAAACCAGTTCTACTTCTTCACCCTCTGGGCGGTTGGACCAAGGATGATGATGTACCATTGCCCGTCCGAATGGCCCAACACCAAGCCGTTCTCGATTCGGGCGTACTGAGTCGTGATGATACCGTCTTGGCTATTTTCCCATCACCCATGATGTATGCCGGCCCCACTGAGGTGCAATGGCATGCCAAGGCACGCATGAATGCTGGTGCCAATTTCTATATTGTTGGACGGGATCCAGCTGGTATGCCACATCCCGACAAAGAAATGTATCCCGATGGCAATTTGTATGATGCCACACATGGTGCTCGGGTACTGAAAATGGCTCAAGGTTTAGATAGTATGGAGGTAAGGGGCTACCATGGGTATGACTTCTTTGTCCATTTTCACTAATTCTTCCAATTTTACAGATTTTGCCCTTCCGTGTGGCTGCCTATGACAAGAGTGTCTCACGCATGGCCTTCTTTGAACCCAAACGTAAAGAGGAATTTGAATTTATCTCAGGTACAAAAATGCGCACACTAGCCAAGACTGGTGCCAATCCTCCCGATGGCTTTATGGAACCCAAAGCCTGGAAAATTCTAGCTGAATACTATCAGTCGTTAAGCAAACAATAGTAACAGTAATTCTAGTTGTACGATTTTCAGCAACATTTCTATTTTCTAAAACAAAAGTATCATTTTAAGTGCAATTCTTTTACAAAAGAAACTAACAACTACTATCAGTAACTTCTTTACACACACACAAAAAAAATATTGACTATTTTATATTTATGTATATATGAGTGAAGATATATACTTCCTATTTTTAAACATTACCATTAGTTTTAAGAGCCAGCAAACGTATTTTGTGTTCTATTAGTAGTTTATAGTTTGTAATGTGAGCAAAATTTGTGAATTTGAAAATGCTATCGAAATCCGACAACAAGGCTATATACTTACCTAATATCCATTGTCAGCCAGTCTATGCATGTCTTTTTGTCTACAAACAAACAGCATTTTCCAAATGTGTGCTTTTTGTCATATGTTTAAACGTAGGATTCTAATAGTTTATTCGATATTTGTACAGCCAGACCTAGTACAAAACAAAAATGTGAAAAGGCCAAACTCAACATCGATGTCAAATGAACGAAAGAGCTGTACAAACAAAACAAATTTCTTGTACATATTTTATATAGAAAATATCTGTTATAAACGTTTTTTTTTTAAACAATAAAGTTTTATTATTTAATGAAAAGATGTTCATTTTGTTTTGATTTAGGAAAAGAATTATCCGGGGATTTAACCAAAAAAAAACTAAGGTATCCTTCTATTGATTACAATTGCCATTAGGACAATTTTTTATGGATGTTGTTGTTATCGACAACATTTTCTATAGAAATTATTGTTATCGACAATATTTTCTAAAGAAATTATTGTTATCGACAATATTTTCTATAGAAATTATTGTTATCGACAATATTTTCTATAGAAATTATTGTTATCGACAATATTTTCTATAGAAATTATTGTTATCGACAATATTTTCTATAGAAATTATTGTTATCGACAATATTTTCTATGGAAATTGTTGTTATCGACAATATTTTCTATAGAAGTTATTGTTATCGACAACATTTTTTATGGAAATTGTTGTTATCGACAACATTTTCTTATTCTTATCGACAATATTTTCTACAGAAATTATTGTTATCGACAATATTTTCTACAGAAATTATTGTTATCGACAATATTTTCTACAGAAATTATTGTTATCGACAATATTTTCTACAGAAATTATTGTTATCGACAATATTTTCTACAGAAATTATTGTTATCGACAATATTTTCTATAGAAATTATTGTTATCGACCATATTTTCCATAGAAATTATTGTTATCGACAATATTTTCTATGGAAATTATTGTTATCGACAATATTTTCTATGGAAATTATTGTTATCGACAATAATCGACAATATTTTCTACAGAAATTATTGTTATCGACAATATTTTCTACAGAAATTATTGTTATCGACAATATTTTCTATAGAAATTATTGTTATCGACAATATTTTCTATAGAAATTATTGTTATCGACAATATTTTCTATAGAAATTATTGTTTTCGACAATATTTTCTATAGAAATTATTGTTTTCGACAATATTTTCTATAGAAATTATTGTTATCGACAATATTTTCTATAGAAATTATTGTTATCGACAATATTTTCTATAGAAATTATTGTTATCGACAATATTTTCTATAGAAATTATTGTTATCGTCAATATTTTCTATAGAAATTATTGTTATCGACCATATTTTCTATAGAAATTATTGTTATCGACAATATTTTCTATGGAAATTATTGTTATCGACAATATTTTCTATGGAAATTATTGTTATCGACAATAATTTCTATAGAAATTTCTATAGAAATTATTGTTATCGATAATATTTTCTATAGAAATTATTGTTATCGACAATATTTTCTATAGAAATTGTTGTTATCGACAATATTTTTTATAGAAATTGTTGTTATCGACAACATTTTCTATAAAAATTGTTGTAATTGACAACATTTTCTATAGAAATTATTGTTACCGACAATATTTTCTATGGAAATTATTGTTATCGACAATATTTTCTAAGGAAATTATTGCTATCGACAATATTTTCTATGGAAATTATTGTTATTATTAGATTTATTTTTTTTAGAAATTGTTGTTATCGACAACTTTTTCTATAGAAATTGTTGTTATCGAAAAAGAAAGCGTAGTTATCTTCTATAGAAATTGTTGATATCGACAAAAATTGTTGTTACCGACAACTTTTTCCATGGAAATTGTTGTTACAACATTTTTTATAGAAATTGTTGTTATCGATAACATTTTTTTTAGAAACCATTGTTATCGACAATAATTTCTCTAGAAATTATTGTTATCGACAATCGAAATTGTTGTTATCGACAATAATGTCTATAGAAATTGTGGTTATCGACAATATTTTCTATAGACATTGTTATCGAATGTGTGTATGCTTTCCCTCCACCACTCTTCTATGTTTTCCCAATCCATTAAGAAATAAAACAAATTCTCTGTGTGTGTTTTTTAATATTTTTATAAAATTGTATAAGTATAATTATTACAATTATAAATACTAAATAATATCAAATTGTAGATGTTTATTTTTGTATTTTTTTTTGTCATCAGTTTATATTACTATATTTTTTCACAAAAGCGATTGTGATGATGATGATGGTTTTCATTATTATTATTTTTTATTAAATGTTTATGAGATATTGTTCTTTTTATGATTTTTTTTTATTTTATTTTTAAGAAGAAAAAGAGAGATAGACACAACTAAAAACAATATAAAAGGAAACAATACAGCGATTGTAAAAAGCACCTTTAAAAAAAAGAAAAAATGGAAAGAAGACGTCGGTTACAAAATAAAAATTCAAAAAAAAATAGAAAATAAAAATATATTATATATATTATACAAAATGTGATATTTATCTACACAACCCCGATTAGAATGTGATTTACAAAAAGGATGGAACACAAAAACATGGAAAGGCAAACAAAAAAAAAAACGTAAAAGGAAATGCTTAATCTCAGCACAATACATGGTGTGAAAAAAATGGTAAGCTTCTTTTAAGTGGGCCATATGTCCAACTTAGAAACCAAAACAAAATTCAATTAATCGGTATGCAAAATGATTTTTTTCTTTGTGCGTAATTTTTAAAAATTTTTTGCTTAAACAAGTGTAACTTTTTGTTTTTGTTTTAAATGTTTAGTTTTTCAAGAATTAAAGATGGCATGTTTGGATTTCTTGTTTAAGAAATGTTTTAAAACTTAAAATAGGGAAATAAAAAATAATTGCAAAGGTTCATTTTTCTTATTTATTTTTTTACAAAAAATATTTTTATTATTTAAAAAAAAAAACAGAATAATTATTAAAACCTGTATCTAGGAATTCAAAGTAAAAGCTATTCATATTCGATTATTTATTTATTTTTTTTTTTTGTTGTTGCACATTTCAAACATCGTAAGTGGGGAGGATGGTCAGAGGAGGGACTTTATTTATTAGAAAAAATCTATTTATTTAAATGAAAACAAACTAACAAGTAAACTATAAACACATTTCTATGCGGTTAAAAGGTAACAAAACAAACAAGACAAGCTTTTATTCCTTTCGAAATTTTAGAATTTTAAAAAGGATTTTCATTGTTATTGTAAAATTGGAATCTGATAGGCAATCACAGAATATTCTTTTGAAGCAATTTTGTTCAATGAAACTATTCTATAGAAAATGTGGTTATCGACAACACTTTCTTTGGAAATTGTTGTTATCGACGATATTTTCTATAGAATTTATTGTTATCGACAACATTTTCTTTGGAAATTATTGTTATCGACATCATTTTCTATGAAAATTTTCGTTATCGACAACATTTTCTATGGAAATTATTGTTATCGACAACATTTTCTATAGAAATTATTGTTATCGACAAAATTTCCTATTGAAATTATTGCTATCGACAACATTTTCTATAGAAATTATTGTTATCGACAACATTTTCTATAGAATTGGTTGTTATCAACAAAAATTTCTATATAAATTATTGTTATCGACGACACTTTCTATAGAAGTGATTGTTACCGAGAACATTTTTTATAAAAATTATTGTTATCGACAAAATTTTCTATAGAAATTATTGTTATCGACAACATTTTCTATAGAAATTGTTGTTATCGACAACATTTTCTATAGAAATTGTTGTTATCGACAACATTTTCTATAGAAATTGTTGTTATCGACAACATTTTCTATAGAAATTGTTGTTATCGACAACATTTTCTATAGAAATTGTTGTTATCGACAACATTTTCTATAGAAATTGTTGTTATCGACAACATTTTCTATAGAAATTGTTGTTATCGACATCATTTTCTATGAAAATTTTTGTTATCGACAACATTTTCTATAGAAATTGTTGTTATCGACAACATTTTCTATAGAAATTGTTGTTATCGACAACATTTTCTATAGAAATTGTTGTTATCGACAACATTTTCTATAGAAATTATTGTTATCGACAACATTATCTATAGAAATTGTTGTTATCGACAACATTATCTATAGAAATTGTTGTTATCGACAACATTTTCTATAGAAATTGTTGTTATCGACAACATTTTCTATAGAAATTGTTGTTATCGACAACATTTTCTATAGAAATTGTTGTTATCGACAACATTTTCTATAGAAATTGTTGTTATCGACAACATTTTCTATAGAAATTGTTGTTATCGACAACATTTTCTATAGAAATTGTTGTTATCGACAACATTTTCTATAGAAATTGTTGTTATCGACAACATTTTCTATAGAAATTGTTGTTATCGACAACATTTTCTATAGAAATTGTTGTTATCGACAACATTTTCTATAGAAATTGTTGTTATCGACAACATTTTCTATAGAAATTGTTGTTATCGACAACATTTTCTATAGAAATTATTGTTTATTCTCCAAAAAAACTCGAGAAAACATTTTACAATTTTTATTTCAAAAATCCCTTTTCATTGAGTCCAAATTTTATGTGGAATCGATTTTCCGTTAAATTTGAAAAAAAAATCGCTTTTCACTGTTCCTTTGAGGCAAAATCTCATCTTGTTTGTTTTTGTTGTCGGCGTTGTTAATATTATTATTTTATATTTCTTCTAAATATTTATAAATTGCAATGTTTTGTTCGGTTTGTTTTGTTTTTGTTACTAAATAATGGATTAAATTTTCTGTTTTGTTTTGTTCTTGTGTGTATATAAATAAATATATAAATTTATTTATAAAAGTCATGCATTGTTTTGTTTGTTTTAATTTTTTAACCCAATCATTGTTCGCTTTGTTTGTGTAATTTGTTGACCACAATTGTTGCTGTTTTTCTATGTTTTGTTTTAGTATGAATTGATTTAATTTGAATTGAATTGTTTTGCTCTGCTGTCTTACGTTTTTCGTGCTTCTTTTTTTTGTTTTTGTCCATGGTAAAATTGCAATAATTGTTTTCATTTATTTTTTAAACATCTATAATTAAATATGATTATTTTTCTTCGCTTTTTTGTTTTTCTTTGCGTTATTAATTTATATATTTTATATCATTTCGTTTCTTTTCTTTTTTTTTTGTTTTTTCATTATTATTAGTTTTATTTTTATTATTTTGTTTTTAATTTTATTATTATTGTTATATTTATTATTATTACATAAAAAAAGTTTAAGTTCTTGTTAAGCCTAACAAGAGGATAGAAAACTACATTCGTCGTTGTATTTACCTCGTCAAAGCAGACTGCACCTTGACAACCAACTCTCTGCTTTTCTATGATCATTCTGTTTCAGTTGATGACCGCCTTTGGGGGGATTGTTCGCCTCCTAAAAGAAGAAAGTTTACGGATAATTAATTCATCAATTTTTAATGGGATTTGTAATTGTGATTTTGCTAATTACCATTCGTTTTTCCATTTTTGCTTTAATATCACTAGCTAATGTTAAGAAAGCCTCTTCCACGTTGATGCTTGCCTTCGCTGAGGTTTCCATGAATTTGATGCCATATTCAACAGCCAGTTGTTCACCACGTTCACGTGAGACCTGCAAGATAAAAACATAAAAAAGAAATAAATATACGATTCCGGGTGAATAATGTCACTTAATTAATCAAAATACCGAATATTGGGAGGTACCGTTATATGAGAGCTATACGAAGACGTGGACCTGCACAGACAATTTTCTGTCATAGGCTGAAGTATCCAATACGAACTTCAAATACCAAATTTGAAACATTTCCGAAGAATAATGTCGCTTAAATCACCAAAATTCCGAAAAAAGAGAGGTACCATTGTATGGGGGCTATACGAAAACGTGGACCTGCACGGACAATTTTCTGTCATAGGCTGTGGTATCCATTACGGACTTCAAATACCAAATTTGGAACATTTCTGCTGAATAATGTTGCTTAAATCTTCATAATACTGAATATCGGGAGTTACCATTATATGGGGGCTATACGAAGTGGACCTGCATAGACAATTTTCTGTCGTAGACTGTATTATCCATTACGAACTTCAAATACCAAATTTAAAACATTTCCGATGAATAATGTCGCTTAAATCACCAACATTCCGAAAAAAGAGGTACCATTGTATGGGGGCTATACGAAAACGTGGACCTACACAGACAATTTTCTGTCATAGGCTGTAGTATCCTTTACGAACTTCAAATATCAAATTTGAAACATTTCTGCTGAATAATGTCGGTCAAATCATCAAAATACCGAATATTGGGAGGTACCGTTATATGGGTGCTATATGAAGACGTGGACCTGCACAGACAATTTTCTGTCATAGGCTGTAGTATCCATTACGAACTTCAAATACCAAATTTAAAACAATTCCGGTGAATAATGTCGCTGAAATCGCCAAAATCCCGAAAAAATGGATGTGGCTATATATGGGGGCTATACGAAGGCGTGGACCTGCACAAATAATTTTCTATCATAGGCTGTGGAATCCATTACGAACTTCAAATACTAAATTTGAAAAATTTCCGATGAATAATGTCGCTTAAATTACCAAAATTCCGAAAAAGAGAGGTACCATTGTTTGGGGGCTATACGAAAACGTGGACCTGCACAGACAATTTTCTGTCGTAGGCTGTGGTATCCATTGCGAACTTCAAATACCAAATTTGAAACATTTCCGATGAATAATGTCGCTTAAATCACCAACATTCCGAAAAAAGAAGTACCATTGTATGGGGGCTATACGAAAACGTGGACCTGCACGGACAATTTTCTGTCATAGGCTGTGGTATCCATTACGGACTTCAAATACCAAATTTGGAACATTTCTGCTGAATAATGTTGCTTAAATCTTCATAATACTGAATATCGGGAGTTACCATTATATGGGGGCTATACGAAGTGGACCTGCACAGACAATTTTCTGTCGTAGACTGTATTATCCATTACGAACTTCAAATACCAAATTTAAAACATTTCCGATGAATAATGTCGCTTAAATCACCAACATTCCGAAAAAAGAGGTACCATTGTATGGGGGCTATACGAAAACGTGGACCTGCACAGACAATTTTCTGTCATAGGCTGTAGTATCCTTTACGAACTTCAAATATCAAATTTGAAACATTTCTGCTGAATAATGTCGGTCAAATCATCAAAATACCGAATATTGGGAGGTACCGTTATATGGGTGCTATATGAAGACGTGGACCTGCACAGACAATTTTCTGTCATAGGCTGTAGTATCCATTACGAACTTCAAATACCAAATTTAAAACAATTCCGGTGAATAATGTCGCTGAAATCGCCAAAATCCCGAAAAAATGGATGTGGCTATATATGGGGGCTATACGAAGGCGTGGACCTGCACAAATAATTTTCTATCATAGGCTGTGGAATCCATTACGAACTTCAAATACTAAATTTGAAAAATTTCCGATGAATAATGTCGCTTAAATTACCAAAATTCCGAAAAAGAGAGGTACCATTGTTTGGGGGCTATACGAAAACGTGGACCTGCACAGACAATTTTCTGTCGTAGGCTGTGGTATCCATTACGAACTTCAAATACCAAATTTGAAACATTTCCGATGAATAATGTCGCTTAAATCACCAACATTCCGAAAAAAGAAGTACCATTGTATGGGGGCTATACGAAAACGTGGACCTGCACAGACAATTTTCTGTCGTAGGCTGTGGTATCCATTACGAACTTCAAATACCAAATTTGAAACATTTCCGGTAAATAATGTTGATTAAATCACCTAAATTCCGAAAAAAGGGAGGTACCATTGTATGGGGGCTATAGGAAAACGTGGACCTACACGGACAATTTTCTGTCATTGGCTGTGAAATCCATTACGAACTTCAAATACCAAATTTAAAACATTTCCGATGAATAATGTCGCTTAAATCACCAACATTCCGAAAAAAGAGGTACCATTGTATAGGGGCTATACGAAAACGTGGACCTGCACAGACAATTTTCTGTCATAGGCTGTAGTATCCATTACGAACTTCAAATGCCAAATGTTAAAAATTTCCAATGAATAATGTCGCTTAAATCACCAAAATTTCGAAAAAAGAGAGGTACCTTTATATGGGGACTATACGAAAACGTGGACCTGTACGGACAATTTTCTGTCATAGGCTGTGATATCCATTACGAACTTCAAATACCAAATTTAAAACATTTCCGAAGAATAATGTCGCTTAAATCACCAACATTCCGAAAAAAGAGAGGTACCATTGTATGGGGGCGAAAACGTGGACCTGCACAGACAATTTTCTGTCATAGGCTGAAGTATCCATTACGAACTTCAAATATCAAATTTGAAACATTTCTGCTGAATAATGTCGCTTAAATCACCAACATTCCGAAAAAAGAGGTACCATTGTATGGGGCTATACGAAGACGTGAACCTGCACAGACAATTTTCTGTCATAGGCTGTAATACCCATTACGAACTTCAAATACCAAATTTAAAACAATTCCGGTAAATAATGTCGCTGAAATCACCAAAATCCCGAAAAAATGGATGTGGCTATATATGGGGGCTATACGAAGGCGTGGACCTGCACAAACAATTTTTTGTCTTAGGCTGAAGTATCCACTTCAAACACCAAATTTGAAACAATTCCTGTGAATAATGTCGCTAAAATCATCCAAATACCGAATTTTGGGAGGTGCCGTTATATGGGGGCTATACTGACCACAGACCGAGCTATCGCGTTATAAGAGTTCAACAAGGTTTCCTTGAGGTTATTGTTGTTGTTATTGCTTATCTGGTTCTAAATCCAAGTGCACTCAGACCTGCCTTGTAGCCTTCTTGGTCTAGAGGCTCTCTCTTATAGCGTTGAACCAGACTCTCTCTAGAACGAGTAAGTCCTCCCTGACACCCCTGGAGAGTTTTATCGTTTTACCTTGACCGATTTAAGGAGCTTTTTCCTAATTATACCTACTGAGTGGCTATATATCGTTTGATTGATTTGATACGGGCAAAACGTGTCTCATCGAAATAGGGGGTTTAGAACCCTGGTCTCTTTGGACCAAATCCGTTTCAAGACATTTGGAGTTGATCTAGCGATGTCCGTCCGTCTGTCTGGCTGTTGCGCACGATAACTCTTGAAAAGATTTTATCCAAACTTTGTACATCGTAATATTATTGTCAAACTTAGATCGAGTTCGGAGATTGGCAGGCAATATCGGACCACTGCTTTTGGTACATCCCAAATAAAATGTCAACATTTTCAAAGAAAAATAAATTACTGCACAGAAAGAGAAAAGATAATCCGATTTTGCTCCAACTTGCGCAAATCCCAATATTTGCATCAGTGCTAGGTCAAGTGCGAAAATGGATAATATCGGCACACTCCTTGTGGTACATCCCCCACAAAGGGTCAAAATTTTGAGTACCCATGAAGTTCATGAAACACGAAATCAACATGCGATTCCATTCAAATTTGATTCGTATCTATATTTCCATAAAACCCAAAATCTGCTATGTTAAATGGTAGAGATCTGATCATTCCTTCTGCCACCTTACCCACAAAAGTTCGAAATTTTGCATAACCAAAGCGATTATAAAATTCGAAATAAATATCCGGTTCCCTTTAAATTACACACATCTAAAAATTTTTTACTAGCCCAAGTTCTGGTGTGAAGATGGAATATATCGGCCCACTCCTTCTGGTACCTACCCCACAAAGAGTCAAAATTTTGAATTTTCATGAAGCTCATAAAACACGAAATTAATATCCGAATCCCTTCAGCCTTGGTTCATCTCAATATTTCCATCAACACAAGATCTGTTATAGAGATCGTGGAGATCGGCCTATTCCCTCTGGTACCTCCCCCACAAAGGGTTAAAATTTCGAATAACCAAAAGTATCTTAAATTCGAAATAAATATTCGGTTCTCTTCAAATTACACAAATCACAACATTTTTATTAGCCCAAAATCTGGTGTGAAGATCGGATATATCAGTCCTGGATATAAATCGGCTGTGGGTATCCATCTGTCGACAAAACTGAGTGATACTATTTTACTTGTTTTCAATTTAAGGCAGATAGTCGTGGCTTGTGCGGACGACATAAACAGCGTTCACGAATAAAATGGCCTATTGGTCACTCATCCTTAAACCAAACCGAACGGCAATGTAGGTCATGGTCATGTCAACTATGTAAATAATCATTTCCCGAACTCATAATTATTATAATGATAATTTGTTCTAATGGAATTATTGGGCATGTAAGGTGGCCAAGGCACCATTCTACAACCCATCGATTAAGAAACATTGTATTTCTATGGAGGGCAAACTAGAACACACCTTTTAACGCTAATTAGTGGCCAACGACAAAATATTCCACAAAAAAGGCTATAAAACAATAATCAAATGGCGATTACATCACCTACTAAAATAAGGATTTCCCATCAACACTGGCCAGCACAAAAAGAACCAAAAGAATAGGCTTGTCAAATACGCGCGCACACACACACAAGTTTATGATTTTTTTTTTTAAGTTTCCCAACATTTACCTGTCTTTTTTCATTTAATTCACATTTGTTGCCCAACAACATTTTCTCAACATCCGCCGATGCATTCTCCTCAATGTTACGTATCCAGTTTTTAATATTCTCAAAGGATTTCTCTTGGGTAATATCGTAAACTAACATTATGCCCATGGCGCCTCTGTAGTATGCGGTGGTAATTGTTCTGAAACGCTCCTGGCCAGCAGTGTCCCTGAAAATTTAACAAAAAAAAAAAAAATGATGTGAGTAAAAAGTTTTTGAGTTCATTTTGAGGGGGCCACATACCATATTTGTAATTTAATTTTCTTGCCATCTAATTCAATTGTTCTAATTTTAAAGTCTATGCCTGGAAGAAAGTGAAAAAAAGAAGAAATGTGAAAAAAAAAATTAATAAATGTATAAACGTGTGTTAAAAACAAGTTAAAAAGTATCAGTCGGTATTGCCGACAGATATATACCCTCAGCCTACGTTAGATTATTTAAATATATTTTGGCTAGTATTACGATTATTCAAACGTTTGACCCTCTAGGCAGCAGGTTCCGAAGAAATGGGTCAATATTGTCCATTTCGTATTTTATGACAAATCATAAAAACAGATAAAATTATTGAAAATTGTGACACTATGTGGGTGAGGTGCGAGAAGGGCTTCGAAGATATATACAAATCTTGTGTTAGCAAAAATTTTGTATGTTTGAAATTTGCAGAGATGCTTATTTCGCTTTATTTGAGCGTTTTTTTCAAAGTCTTGAACCCTATGTATGGGGGAGGTACCAGAAGAAATGGTTCGATCTATACCATCTTTATAACAGATCTTGTGTTGATAGAAATATTCAGATGTGCCAAGTCTAAATGGAATCGGATGTTAATTTGGCGTTTTAAGAGCCCCATGGGTACTCAATATGTCAAAATGTCGACACTTTGTGGGGAGGTACCAGAAGGAGTGGACCGATATATTCCATGTTAACACCAGATCTTAGGTTTATAGAAATATTAGGGTGTGTGAAATTTTAAGACGTTTGATTCCTTACATCATATTTTATATGAGTTATAATTATTCAAAATTTTGACTCTTTGTGGTGGAGGTACTTGATGGAGTGGACCGATATAGTCCATTTTCGCACCTGACCTATCACTTACGCAAATATTAGGATTCGCAAAGTTCGAGCAAAATCGGATCATCCTTTCTCTTTCTGTGCAGAAAATAAATTTTTGCAAATTTCGGCCTTTTGTGGGGAGGTACTTGATGGAGTGATCCGATATTGTCCATTTTTGCACCAGACCTTGCGCTGTTACAAATATTAGGATCTGCAAAGATGGGGCAAAATCGGATCATCCTTTCTCTTTCTGTGCTGAAAAAAAATTTTTTTTTTGAAAATTTCGACCTTTTGTGGGGGAGGTACCAGAAGGAGTGGACCGATGTATTCCATCTTCACACCAGATATTACGCTAATAAAATTATTGGGATGTGTGAAATTTGAAGACAATCGGACCCTTACTTCACATTTTATAAGAGTTGTTATTATTCAAAATTTTGACCCTTTGTGGGGGAGGTACTTGATAGAGTGGACCAATATTGTCCATTTTCGCACTTGACCTAGCACTGACAAAAATAATAGGATTTGCAAAGTTGAAGCAAACTCGGATCATCATTTCTCTTTCTGTGCAGAAAATATATTTTTTGAAAATTTCGACCTTTTGTGGGGGAGGCACCAGAAGGAGTGGACCGATATTGCCCATCTCCGAACTCGATCTAAGATTGACAAAAATATTACGATGTACAAAGTTTGGACCAAATCGGGTACTCCCTTCGAGAGTTATCGTGCGCACCAGCCAGACAGACAGACAGACAGACGGACGGACGGATGGACGGACATCGCTAGATCGACTCCAAATGTCCTGAAACGGATTTGGTCCAAAGAGACCTAGGGTCTAAAACCCTTATTTCGACTAGGCACGTTTTGACCGTATCAAGTGATATATACCCTCTGTAGCCATATGGCTGAGGGTATAATTAAATACGGATTATAGAAATTTGCGTAATTGAATAGAAACAAATGTGATATCAGCTTGAAAACACATTGCATCGTAAGTTGGGATTGTTTGGGTTTGAAATATATCTCTGTACTTAGATGAGCATGATATTTACTTTATTCTGTTGCAGTTTATTTTGAGATGTGTTTGTTTCTATTGGCTTTGATCATCATTGACCTTTACAAGTTATTACAGTTTAATTACAAGTTCTCCATATCATTTTTCAAAAAAAAAGCCAGATCGCTGTCATTGTTTCAATGAAATCTTCTCTTTTTATGATTAAAGCCGTAAAGCAATTAGAAATTGCATGGAATATTGATTTCGATGACATTTCATATAGAAGCACGCCTCAATCTGCCTTGGAGACCCTACTCAGCTTGAAACCCCCAAGTCTATTTGTAGAGAAACAAGCAGCGAGATGTGGGACGCAAGGAACTTAGTCATTCAACATTCGGCCTCTATAATGTATATGGAGAATATAGGGGGTCGGGTTTTGACCAGTGACTATATATCACCTAGGTTAGACTTCGAAATACTGGACATCCACATACCTAGCAGAGACACTTGGACCCGGAACACTCCATCTTTCAGCGGTGTAGATATCTATACCGATGGCTCTAAGATAGAAAGCAGAACGGGTGTAGGTGTTTTCTACGAAAGCCTAAACATTCGGAACTCATTTCAACTCAATAAACACTGTAGCGTATTCCAGGCAGAAATCTTTTCTGTCAGGAAAGCCGTAGAATTGCTGAAAAATCGAACAGTTGAACTGAACGGAACGGTCAAGCGGCCCTAAAAGCGCTAAATTCATTTACCATGAAATCTATGGCAGTCCAGTGAAGTGAAGTCCTTAATTACGCTTTGCAGGTGAATTGGGAAGAAGTGGCTCCGAGTCAACTCATCTAGAGATTGAGAGCTCGGTGAAGCCATGCATAATGCATAAACATTATTGTGGAAAATTTCAGCATAACTGGCAAAATGCAGGAGGCTGTATTGCTTCCAAGAAAATTTGTCCGGTGATCTCACAAAGGAGATCTCTATCACTCATTTCTATGGCGAAATCTGACCTAAAACTTGTAGTAGGCTTAATCACAGGTCACTGTATTATTAGGGCCATGACTTCTAAGTGGAGGGGGGTGGGGTGGATGAGACGATACTGTCTACTGCAGGCTTTGTCAAGACGAGGAAGAGATAGAGACTGTGAGAAACTTACTATGTCACTGTACAACTCTTTTTAGAGCCAGACAGAGGCTCACGGGTAAGCAAACTCTGCATGATCTGCCTTCACTCTCCAATACTGAGCCATCAACGATTCTTCACCTAGCCAGAAAACTAAAATGGCTAAAGACAACACGATAAAATTTTCGTGGATACTTCTTTTCTAACATAATCTTTATCTCCGAGTGGAGCGGTCATAAACGAATTTACATATCATTTAAGTGATGTCAATCTGTCTGTGCATTAAAATCTACACAAAGTTCAGATTATTTTATGTTGAGCTTGGAAATACCAGTTTGGGTTATTTGTTGGGCATTGAAAAGAGATATACCAAGCAAATATGATTGTTATAATTCGGGTTATCATCCCATATTTTAACAAAAGCCTATCACACTAGAAGTACAAAAGTTTCAGCCGAGAGTATACCTCAGCCAATGTTCGATTATTTATTTTTATTTTTGTTTTGATCATTCAAACTGTTGACCCTTCATATAGTAGGTTCCGAAGTAGTGGAGCAAAATGCTGTCCAACACACTTCACCTATTAAATATTGGTATCCCATCTTCATCTGTGAAATCTGAAGAGAACCGGATGCTTATTTTGGATTTTATTATCGTTTTGGCTATTCAAAACTTTGACTCCTTGTGGGGAGGTACCAATGGTCCGAACTCTACCATCTTTATAACAGATCTTGTGTTGATAGAAATTTTGAGATTTGCCAAGTGTTCACGGATGAGTGAACAGATTTCATAAAATTATTTTAGTTGAATAGAGGAGATAAGTTGTGGAAAGGAAATCTATTGTTAACAAATGTACAGTCCACAAATAAATACAAACACCAAAGGGGCAAGCATGTGGGGGTCTTTAAATAAGATAAGAAACTGTAGTGAGCAGACCTTCGATTTAGAAATAAATAATACAGAATTTTCAATTGCTGCATGTGTTATGGTGGAGTTAGATTATGGGATGTAATCTTTACTCAGGCTGATAAGCAAGTGCAGCATGTTTGCTTGCCACATGTAAGATAGCTATGTGTGTGTTTGACCTCCTCCTATGGTTTATGGTGGCATGGTGCATATGCATGTGTACAGTTAGAATCTATCTCTCTCTCATTTACACTTAATGATAATTTAGGTTAAGTCATATTATCATAACTAGTTCTTAAGAAATATTTTTAATAAATAAATTCAGTGTAGTAAAAATATTCCAACGGTGCGTACGTTTCTTCCGCGAACAGTTTGGTCCTTCGAAACCTTAATTTAAAAAAAAAGAACCAGTGAAAATTAATAATTAAAAAAATAAAATAAAATGAAGAAATTTACACAATTATGCGATGCCCAAAAAGATATCCACCACGTTCTGTCAGATCTGAAGAGCCAGTTGGAGGAACCAACACGTCCTAATAGATTGGCAGTCATGGAAAGGACGCTCGAGGAAAAATATGGAAACTTCCGTAAAAATCACGAAGTTATAATAACTCAGTTTGGCACATTCGGTGACTACCAGAACAGCGAAGTAGTCTCATCAATGCCGCAATTGGTGATGGACATCCGCAAATTAATTGAAAAGATGAAAAAGAAAAATGCTGAAACTGAAGGTATGCAGTCTGAAGATGAAAGCTGTTTCAAAGACGAAACGGAAAATAGACTAGTGGTGGCAGATAACAGTAACAATCTTGAAATTGAGACAACAAAGCGTATCCACGACAATGAAGAAAGGGATGCAATGAATGAATTGCTAATCTCTCCAAAGCCGAGTCAGAAGGAGGCTGCGGCAAGGAAAATGGTAGTGACGGCGAGTACAAAAGACGAGGGGACTTCAAATCTCAGTAAAAAGGCTGGGGAAAGAAGGGATGCGGCTATAGAGCCATATTCCCAAGAAGACGAATCGATCGAAGGCTCGGCACTGACCAAGTACGAGGTGGAGACAAGAGGTCTGCTACAACATATGGAACAGACCATGGATATGATGGATTGCCTTCAAACAGAAGATGAGCTGAATAATGCGTATAAATTCACCGAAGGTCTTATAAATGCCGCTGAAAAGGAGGTCAGATTCGACTCGGATATTGCGGCTCAATGGAGACAGTTATTAAT